TTGAGTGCTGACATGCATTATCTGTTTTGATGAACCAACCCAACCCCAACATCCTCCGTGGGCGCCAGCTGGCCGAGCTCTTCTTCACGTGCAATGCCCCTGGAAGTACTGACTGGACCTGTCGTTGTGGCGTACGTCGTGCTCAGACTGGAAGTGGATACTCGAACCTCGTCTCCCACATTACCTCGGAGCACCCAGAGAAGAACACATTTGACGCCATGAACGTGCGCGGCCATGGACACCAGAAGTTCCTTCTACAGAGCGCACGTATGTATAGCATTAGATATAGTATAGTCACAGTAGTCATGCATGTAGATGTAGATAACGCCAATCAATCAGTTTACAATTTCCTCTGCGTTATCAACTCCCTACAAAAACGCCTTGACAGTACTAATTGTATATTCGAGTGAGCGTTGAGAACAATAGAGAGCGTGCTAGGCAATTTGGCTTGGGGGATGCTACAAGTCGAATATTGTGAGGGGAAGGGGGGATACATAAGGGCTGATGAGGTGCAGGGGTTGCAGTCGCTACTATTGTGGCGATCTACATACACTATGAGCTAGTCATGACGTGAATGGTGGTTTTAACCTCGTAAGTGGTTATTGTGTGCTTTCACATGTAGTTAAGCCACAAGCAGAATCGTTGTGGAGGGGATATAAGGCCGTGGGGGGTTATAGACGATGTAGGGGTTGCAATCGAACAGCTGTAGCGATTTACATGCACTATGAGCTAGTCGCGCCTAGTGACTGAAATCTGTACTTTTAGGTGTGGATTCACCGCCACTCTGACCCAATTGCTAGCATTTACACGAATAACTTGTCGTTGTGCTCCACACACAGCTGTACGTTTTTACTTCTTAACTTTCACGCAAAGTCACATTGCACACACTTAACGCATACTCGTAGGAATATCACAGGGCTACGTCAAATTGCTAGCTCAACTGCTGACATGGTTCAGGACTCTATAATGCTTGTCTTGCCTTACTAGCAGAAATGGATTGTCCGTCGGATGCGAGCAACAACGACGGGCAAATCCTCTACTATGCTGTATGAGATCCTCTCATTATCATTATATTAGTTGTGAATAAGGTATCTGCAAAGCAAGGCTAGTTACTTTAGTACTTCGAAGTACATCAGTCAGGCAACACGAGGCAACATGCTCATGTTCAACCCTCTCATCTTCCAGAAATACTGCGTTTTGTTTGAATAAATATTACTTGAAGTATATGTCATGGCCAACCACATATTTCAATGTCGTCATTCCTCAATTTGCTACCTCACACACACTGCTCAGTGGGTCCATGGGTATGTAAGTGATCGACCCCCTTGCGCATTCAGCCACCCGTTAGTACCGCAAGCAAGGTTCTTTCTATA